GTTTGTTTTCATTGCAATGAACGTGGCGCTTATTTTGAAGAAATACGAAATGCACTAGTTTAGGAAACATCTCGCAAAAATTATAATCAATACCATAGACATAAGAAGTCTGAACAACGTTTAATTTTAGCTACATGATTATTTCACCGTTTTTATGATAGTCATTCGGACTTTCAGCTAAATTAGACACAAACAAATTGGAACAGTTCCAATCGATGCACGTTAAGTGCATTTGTAGAGCAGATGTGATATGCACAATCAGCTACTGATGATTTGATGCATTTCTAAGCGGTTAGCAGAGTCAAAAAGCTTAAGGGGTATCATTGTAGACGCCTCGATGACGGATCATACCACAAGCAGCAGAAGTGAGACCTTGTATTCAACAGGCGGAGAACTCCTATGAAATCATAGAATCCGTTATTTGGTTGTGGAGAAATGCCTTCTCACACCTAAAACACTGTTTCAGCGAATCGGTTTGTACGAATCAGACATCGCCTCATAATGCTGGAAGACTTCTTTTCATCATCACATCACCGATTCTGTGACACACTGACAACCATCNCATACCATGAATGACGGAAAAACAGGAGTAATTGCGCAATTTTCTGAAGTTTCAGTGTAATACGATACTGCAGTGGTTGTAGTAATGGTAGTAGTAGAAGGTAATGAACACAAAAAACGAATCACGGTATACGAGTCACTGATTATCAGACACGGACGTCACGTAAGCACTGGACCACACTGGCATGCAATACCCCACGTAACCGAGAAGCGAGAAAAAGGCCTCAGGAGTAGTAGCTCGTTTATTGAAAGAAATAAGGGTGCATTAAATAATATGTATAAAACAAGCTCATTGGTGATCCAGGCCTCTGCCAATCGACTTCTAGTATTTCTGGCGTTATTCAGCTTCTGTCTGGGCCACACGGTTTCTGATTGGCTGGTACGATGTATGTAGTCCAAAAGCTGTGGCACGCACGAACCTTGCTGACGTCACTCGTGAAGCTTGATTGATCGCAGTTGTCCTAAAACTGTAACGTGTCGCTCCAGGGTATAGACCATCTCGCACGCTGGGATCACCACAGCTACACATGATTTACTTCTCATACACATCCGGAACGGCTTTACGTGGTGGTTGTGTCCACTAACATTAATAGTGATGATTTGATTTCAAGCATCTTTACTGACTGAGGCCAATAAGTTGTATGGGCTTATATTCTCCTGTGTTCTGTGGTTTCATGTTGCTACTTATGCCGGTTCCCAATTAGCCGCCAGCAAAGATTTGTCAAAAACCTTCTAAACACCTGTTTACAGTTGCCTAAAGCTCCTTCAATCGAATTGAAAAATTGATTGTCAGGTTGAAGGTATTTGATTTTCTCGTTCACATATAATTTTCCTTTCGTTGCTTCCCAATGGAGCGATGCATCAGCAAAAACGAAATACAGCTTGAGTTTCAAGTTTAATTTGCGGGTGCGTCTCTTGTTAACATTTGGTATCCAATCAATTGGTGCAAGATTGGTTTCGAATAGGTTTTGAATTTTAGTATTTGAGCTGCTGAAATTAAGAAATATTCTATCAACAAGGAAACTTCGAAAGGACCTCGGGCACTGATAGTTACCCTCTAAAAGAGAAAAATCATTTATATCATCGCCTAACTCTCGTGCTCCATTTGTGCGGGCTGGTTAACGCTAAAAAGTCGAATATTAATTCTGACCATTTCTCTATACAAACTTTTGTCGGGTGAACTCCTAAGTTACAATATTTAAGATTTTTCCTAAATTGTTCTTTTTTATAGTTTCCCCGGATTTGGTTGCTATCGCTTAAACAATATTGGATCTGCAGCCATCAACGTTGTTCATCCCTCCCCGGCTCGCCTTAACAACAGACAACTCGAAACATTTCGTGCTACTGTGTGCGTCTTTAATTGGATCTCAGGGTGCCTCATCCCCCCGGGCTTACATGATTCATCTTGCCCGTCCTTGTTAGGCTTACACGAAACCACCTCATGGTGCAATGACATCTTGAACGGTAGAAAGTTCTTTGATAGAGAGCAGAACCTAAAACATTTACTTAACTTCATCAAAACCTTGTCGTAGAGGAAGCAAGCTAGTAAAAAGCCACCGTCTTTTCGTTCTATACCCAGCGACAAAAGTACAGCAACACCCCCTCCTGAGTGTTTTGGTTTATCTCCGCTCTCATATGTACAGTTATTACAATTTTAGTTATTCTCAGTAGTGATCGAATGAAAAGCTGATATACGAAGTTCATTTCACTTCTGTTTTATTTTATTGAAAATGTATCGAAAATACACTTCTTACCACAGCGAAAGTACTGCCCCCTCCCCGGTGGACTTCACATACCTAATCCGGTTAAAAAAGGTATGTGCTAGTCGTCCTACGCTTGTACCTCACCATGGCAACTGGACTCGATTTGAGTCAGTGGTCGGCAGACTGATGTTTACACCACAAGACATGCATGAGTGGCATTCTTGATCAGAATTTGAGATAATCTCGAGGGTAATCATATGGATGAATGGGTAGAAGATAAATGGGAAAGTTGAAAGCAATGTCTAAGGGAAAATTGGAACTTTCGACAGACTAAGAAATTGAGATGCTCGAGCCACACTGTGTACGAGACTGGGCTATATCATTCTGTCTCCAACTATCAATTACAATAATCTCGAGGACTTCATTTAGGCAGTCTAGCGAGACCCACGTGACCGATTCTCACGGTTTGGATTTTATTACCCTCATACCAGGTCTTAGTTTGAACACCCTAGAATTTTATTCACCCACTGCCTGCGTCGGTAAAATGGCGCGTCCCCGTGAGATGCACAATGCATGCCAAAAACAACGTAAACGATGAAGGCCTTCCATTGTGGTGATTGTGTATAAACTGAACATTCTTGTTTCTTTACATGATCGATTGCTTTGTACAATTTCGGCGCGTAATACAATCTGACTTCAAATGTTCTGGAGTTCTATTCCATACTGCGTACTAGTTCGGTTGAGGCTTAATTACGCGGATTATTACGATTCAATTCCTGATATTAAGTATAGATTACCGCATCCACTCGCTCCTGTGAGCCTCCGTGGTTACCTAATACTCTGTGCCAAACGTCGAACGTCAATTCTGCATCTGCGTCATATGTGCATTCTGTGATCGCATCGGCGAGGTTGTCACTGGTTAGACTTGCATTTCTTGATTGAAGCGATGAAGATTGTTCCATCTTTTTGGCCAACGCTTCGATGAGCTTGTTTCGTGTATGAAGCATTCGCATGAACATTTCCATTTGGTCTGACATGATTTTGTTTTGACTTAAACGAGTGGGTTTGTTCCCGTCGTCAATTGCTAGTGTTATGTTTTGATGTCAAGATGATGTGATCGATACGTACGCCTCTTGTCTAGGCCCCAACAACTGGAGAAAGAACACTGCTGAGAAAAACGACAGTCAGAGTGTATTCTTGATCATGAAACAACAAGCAAATATATGTGGTCAGTTGGGCATACGCGAGCAGACGTGGTGACGCGCCAATCAGACCGTGACCTTGACATTCAAGTTAGTTGATCGACCGGACGACAGCTAATTGATTCGCCTTGGTCATCCAATCAGGAGTCGATTCGGCATGGGCGTCACGAGCGCACTTGTGGTGTGACGCGCGTCGCTGCGTGGCAGGCCGGATTTTGTGCGCTCCGTCCTAATAGTTACGTTCCCAGATAGCCCAGAGCGAGCGGAAGAACAAAGACCGTCTGACCGTCAGACCCGTGTATGTTCCAATGAATGCGTCACGCACTAAACCACATGACCATAACACCATAAAAGGTCAAGGTCGATGACACTGTCTGTTCACCTGCCGACCAATGTCACCCCTAACAATATTCCTTACGCGGAGTTTCCTTTCTTTAAAGCCTGATGTCTTTTTTCCATAATCAAGTGGAATCACGCTCGCTCTAGGCAGAATTCAGATAAAGTGCCTCTCAAGGGAATCCCATCCTTGTGCAAATAAATAATCCTAAGTTTGTTAACAATTCCAGGAAGTAGTTCTGATTGATCATCACGTCACGATTTATAGATACTTGTAAGTTTAACCGAAGTGATGTGCACTATCGCAAGAACAGTCTTTTTTCTATCTAACTTCATTATTACACAGCTTTCAAAAAGTTCATTTTTGATTCACTGAAACCCAAATACATTTTGAATTGGAAGTGACGGCTAATTCGACATAGCACTGGACATGACAATTTTCTCACCGAATATGTGCGACAAAGCGGCACAGTTAAAGAGACACTGCGGTTGTGAATGCTACCTGCTTCCATTTGTTTCTGGCACATTGTAGGGGTTCGCCGATCCCATTTAGATGACCATTTGTGATTGGTTGTTTGGTGCAAGCCTACCGACAGGTGTTTGATGTGCCCATTTCTTGTACCACTTGACAGCTTCGTGAACAACTTGACAGTTTGTTATACCTGAAACAGATTCGTCCTCAGCCATGCGCGAGTGTGGTGTTTCCCTACTTCACAAAACCACAGATCGGATTCTCAAGTTCTATCTCCATATGGATTTACATGTTTCATCAAGAGCAGAACAGTCCATGATATCCAGAAGTGCACCAAAGCACACATATATTTATGTTTGGATAGCTGTACACTGGTGGCTGGAAAGTCAATCGGAACAGACTGTTTAATATGCATTCAACAACAGCGTGTATGTTTGTTTCCCGGTGTATACGGATGGAGAATGAGATCAGTGAAATGAAATGGATTAAATCGGTAGCGCAAGACCAATTATCAGCAACGGAATCAATAGAAATGCAGACTGAAGAAAGGCAAAATTAGTGGTCGATTTGGAATAACCAACATACGTGAAACGACAAAAACAAATCACGAGTCTTACATTTGTTTTAGTCTCGAAAGACCAATTCATTGTAGTTAATTTATGGCGGTTGAAAACGCAGATAAGTGTTAATATATAACCGGGACTAAGAACAGAGGGAGGGATATGGTTAGGGATTTGATGGTAAGATTGGAACAAACAACGTTAGACTTTCGCGTTTAATGCTGAATTTGGCTTCCGCGTTCGGTATATCCACCTTGCATGGCAAGGTGATTTCCAGTGGCTTGTAAGCGATCGGACTGTCCATGACCATGAGAAGAAGTTTCTCCTAATGGGGAAAAAGTTATAAGGGATAAATATCATTCGCAAGCTTAAATCGAACTTAGTGGAGAGCGGAGCAGGGTTTGAAGGTATGTCTTTGGGTTCAATAGCACAGTGACAAGTTAAAATGAGGCCCGGTTTTCATGATGGCACGATAATAATGTTACCACTCGGAAGTATGGCAATTTTTATCGATTCAAAATTACGGCCACAATGAAACGGTAGCAAATCGATCGTTATCAGTGGTATTAGTACTCGCTATTGAATAAAAGTGACTTAAAATGGGTATCTGTCACATGAGTGAGAACCGCGCTTTCTGTAACAACTTTTTCTCCCTAGTATGACTGGCGTGGATCGTGCTCTCAGAGACCTCTTTAGCCAGCACATAGATGTGGAAGCTAGTATTGTGTCTGCCGCGAGTTATTACGCTGTACGGAAGGTACTGAACGATATAAGACAACGCAAAATGTTAACTGGAGTTGAACATTGCTTGAATCACACTATAATCTAATTCCGCTTTCCTTTACAATTAGGACGTCATGGGCACAATCGTTCCAGAGGAAAACAGGAGTCATGCTTTCGCCGAAGTCCTATCTGCCAACAATGTAAAGAGAATAATCAGCCAGAAATAACAGCCCAGTTTGAGAGTAATCTCTCAGACACAGAATGCAATGCATAATTCAACAGGCAAACTACAATGGCAACCGAACATTTTCAGATAACATTCAATGGTTTTTGGTCTACGATTATCGTTCAAACTCGCTCGTAGATTTTTACCTTCGGCTATGTTTCGTCAATTGCTTTGCTGTTATTTAATCAGAAAGTCACATCAGGATGTTCCATTGGGAAGAGATATGTTCAACTGGAGTAGTGTATCGTCTTTCCCATTAGCCACGACTTGGTCTCGGTTTGACAATTTGAACGAGGTTTTCCTTACAGATATAAGGAGTAGTATATGAATGACGACAACATTTCACAGAATCAGGTGTGCGTTGATTTTAGGTTTGATGTTTTACACTTATTTTTACGAAAACTAAGTAATCAGATTGCCCTACTGAAACTGAAAATTTGTAACGAATCATAGTGCATGTTTAGAGTGGGTCACATTTTCCCTGTTCCTAGAGGTAAATACGGTTATATTCGCTTACGTAATTGAATAACCACACATCAGTTAAAGTCAAAGTTTTATTGTGGGAAATACCTACAAGCGGTTGCTTTTCTTGTCCCATAGGATGCATCACAAATGAATCAATTTGCGGTTCATAGAAAGATGAGGAATGTCACGAATTATCCTTTTTCATCACACGAAAGTGAATAAAGTAAAAGGGGTAAACCCCATGATCCGAAGGTGCGCTTGTTTTTGTGCACTGCTACGGATGTTGAAATTTAAAACTTGTCTACGTTTCATCAGTTGTGAGCATAGAAACAACGTCAGGTGGTGGAGAATTCTAAATAGTAAACACTTCGAGAGCAAATCAATGATGCCGGCATTCTAGTATACATTTTTTGGAGCACCAATTTGAATGAGTGCCTCCTGAGGTGAGTGTTGGGCGACAAGGCGAACAGCGAACGATTTGGTTGATCAGGGTTCTATATTATTTGATACTGTGTGGAGTACAGCCTCAATGATTCCAGTCTTTCCACATAAGTCTTCCAATGCAGTCCCTTGACCATTTGGGTGGCCATTCTTTGTGGACGGTTCAGAATCTTACGATCGCGTTGCAGCCATGGATTTCACGCTTCAATTGCATACTCTATGTGGGGTGAAATATAGGCTGATAAAGACCGTGAAAAAAGCTTAGGTTCAAATTTGCCAGATACTCGCTTTAGCAAATCAACGTGTCTTACAGCGATGGACAACACCTTGGAGCAGTTTAAAGAACAACTTAGGTCGTCTTGAACAAAGACACCAAGACCCTTCTAATTTGGTATACGGCAGTTGTTGATACCCCAGAAAGCACGGAAGCCGAGTTTGTGGCGAAGGGATCCGACCGTATATTTTGATGCATTGAATTCGGCGTCATTTTCGATCGACCATTGATAAGCAGCATTAAGTATTCTCTGAAGTGCCATTGAGTCCCCGGGTTTTGTCACTGTTTTCCATATTTTTGCACCGTCTGCAGACATTGCCGTTTGCGGCTCCAGAATATCCGTTAGATCGTTATTTAAAACTAGAAAAACATGAGGGCCAAGCACGGATCCCTGTGGAACTCCTCGGGCTACGGTGATAGGATTAGAACGTGACCCAGAAACCCGAACTGATGATGTCACCTCGGCTGGTGATAAAACTTTTGCAAACAAATGCCAAGCTCGGCGAACAGGCAAAATAGAAAATTCTCTATCCAACCCAGGACAAATACCCGAATTCCATAATTGGGTAGTTTCCTCAGCAGTATTTTGTGGTTCACTCGGTCGAATGCTTTGGAGAAGTCAAGGTAAACGACGTCTACTGCATTACTGAGATTGGCTGCTTTTGTTTACTCCTCTCATCGGGACAGAAGCAGGTTAGTTGTACACGATCGTCTGCGACGAAACCCATGTTGAGCAGAGGATAACAAACTTTTCCAAGTGACACATCACACTGTCTGCAACAATGGATTCATTGACTTCGGATAATACGTCGAGGAGAGTAAAGGGGCGGTAGATAGCTGGTTCACTACGACAGCCAACTTTATATATTGGTGAAATTATTCTGTTTCCATGTTTATAAAAGCACAGTTTTGTAGAACATTTGTTGGAATAGTTCACTCATTGGTTGAGCTATGTTACTTGCCAGGTGGGTAAGAATTTGTGGAGGGATGTCATCTATCCCCGGAGATGAATTCCTATTCAAAATCTGTGGTTCCGATGCTATGATTTCTGGGGAAAAATCAATTGTCGTGAGCGTTCGGTATGGTATGTCCTCAAGTAACAGAGGAAGTCGTAGTTCGGTGTTCTCAGGTGCAGTGGACATTTGAGCGTACTGACATTTTAACATTGCAGTTGCCTCACCTGCTGTGACTGAGACATGTTCGGCACTGGAACGCCAGAATTGACTTTTCTGGAGGCATTTATATATTTGTAAAACAGCTTAGGATTAGATATAAACTTGCACATCAGCATTTCTTGGTAAATCAACTTGTCTTCTCGTGCCAGCCTGGTACAGTGGTTTCGAAGTAGACAGTAGATGGACTGTTTTGTTACAAGGAAATAGTTTATAAACTAGCTCTCCATTATCTATTCCTCTGCGAAATACACTTCTTTGTTCGACTTCGAATCACTGATTTTTGACCAGTTGAGTAAGTAATGCGTTCGGCCTTGGTCACACCCTCCACTATTTCCGTAAGGTGATTCGTGACTTCTTGCCAGAACACCAAGGGATCACACCGTTTGTTGGAAAATTTCTATTGGAAGTCTGTCACCAGGGTCAAGTTTCGTGTAGTCAACAAACATCCAGGAGTTTACCGTAGAAATACGCTGTAGGGATACATAACAAATGTAGTCAAACGTCAACAACAGCCCCAAGGGAGTCGCAGTGGAAATCGTTCCCACCACTGATTCATGGTTAGCTAACAGCAAGTCCGCAACCGAAGATTATTGGCTGGCTCCAAACCTCGTTGACTCTTTCACAAAATTGTAAACTGAATAGGATTCAATAAAGTGAGCGAGTTTCCTCTCAAATGGTTGTATAGAGTGTACTAGGCAACCGAAATGGCCCATAAATGGGACATGCATGAACCTCAGTGACAGAATGTGATACATGTTTTGCAATCGTGTATCATTGGCTGAGTCTGTGGACGCAGGGGAGCGTTACACCACATCGATCAAGCCGATATCGCGTTGCGATAGTCGCACTTTACACCAGTGAGTCAGAAGCCACAGAAGGATAATCAATTACCTCGCATCGTAGTTTGTTGCTAACGTAGAGTAACACACCGCCACCTGTCGTAGGTCAATCGCGTCTGAGCAGACATGTCGGATAAGCATAATTCCTAGTCCAGGTTGTCGGTTGTCAGTCAAGTTTCGGTAACTGTAACAATGTGTCCCTTTGAACAGTTTGGCAACGCAGTTCCACCTCTGGAAATTTGCTGAGGAAACCTTAGGAGTCAGTGTAGAAACAATACAGTTGATCGCGGAGCAGAAACTCATCGGGCTGCAAAGGGTTCATTTAGCCAACCGTATCGTGGTCAGCTGAGGGATACTTTTGAAGGAGTGTGTTGGGTCCGGTTTATCAGTCGCGGGGAGGAATATGAAGCCGGTGAGAACCCAGCTAGTATGGAAGCGATATTTTATTCCAGAGAAACACTTTTTGGTCCCGGGTTGTGCATCCGTCTCAACCGCAGTTCTGATGGTCCATAGGTAAAAGGATTTTGGAGACTACCAGTCTCAAAGACAGGAAGTTACATGTTCGACTGGTAACCTACAATTGACGAGCGGTTATTCCGCTATGATAGAGGCAAGCTAATTACATACATCCAGAACAAGCTCGGTAGATTCGTTATCACTGGGGAAAAAACAAACTGAACTATACCTTTTCCAGTTTAAGATGTCCGAATTCCAACTTAAAATGAACGCATATCAATTTGGGATGTCACAATATGAATTTAAGATGTCCGAGTATCCATTTAAGATGTCATGTTGCTATGTGGATAGTACCTTGCA